AACTTCGGCAGCAGCAGAGACAACAACAGCAGTAGGAACAACTTCGGCAGCAGCAGAGACAACAACAGCAGCAGAAACAACATCGGCAGCAGCAGAGACAACAGCAGCACCGAACCTCCCTGACGCAGGACCTTCAACGACACCACCTACTCTCAAGGACCCGACACCAACTTAACCCCGACAACTGACTCCAGTCCCACGCGCCATCCACCGAAGTGCCAACATCGTCGCAGGCTTCTACTCCAACTCTGACCTGTATAGACGTTTACCTGGGCATCGCGCTGACGAGTCACTGTGGCACGAGAGGTTAGGGCATCCCATCAACACAACACTAAACAACACGATAAGAGCAGGCGTACTCGACAAGGACTCACTACTAATACCAGAGGCAGAGAACTTCAACGAGTTCGTGGAACCTGCTTTACCTGCCCTGAAACCGACTTACCGCATCGGCCGTTTGCTTCTCACCACAACCCGAGCGCACCAGCATACGCGCCGATGGAAAACGTTAACAGTGACATCTTATACACCCGCGATAGTGGACAAGGAGACTACAACTATGTCATCACCTTCATCGACGCTGCAACAAGATATGTTTGGCACCTCAACTTGCCAAGCCGCGACACGGCCTTCGAAGCCTTCATCATGTGATTGCCGGTAGCAGAAAGGGAGTCTGGAGAAAAACTCAAAAGTTTCCAGTCAGACGGGGGAGGAGAATATCAGTCACAACGATTCAAGCAGTACTTGGCGGAGAGAGGCATCAAGCGGCTCATCTCCCTTCCCTACGCCCATCAACAGCAAGGCGTAGCAGAAAGGATAAATATGACCCTCCAGACCACCATGCGCAAGCTGCTACGTGGCATGCGACTGCCAGAGAGCCAGTGGCCTGCAGCAATGGACCATGCTACCATGCTGCACAAATTGCTCTCGTCGTCCTCACTACCGAACAACGCATCACCGCAACTGCTGTGGACAGGAAAATTGGGCAACACAAAAATGTTACGAGTCTTCGGCTGCATGGTACAGTACCGGCCACACACTGCAAGAGCCAGCTGATTCTCACAACGCGCACAGTGGGCATAGAAAAACATTACAACGCATGGAAGATTTTTTACGTCCACGCGAAGGGAACAGTAGCAGCACGTGATGTTATCTTCTACGAGCGACTCACCCTTCAGACGTACCTGGCCAACCTGGATGCCCATCGAGACCCCACAGGTGGCTTCCGTGGCAACCGAGCCTTCGCCTCGTCAGCCGTCGAAGCTAACTGGGATGAACAAAACGTGGACGGAGCTTTGGAAGAAGCTGGACCTCTGCCCTACTATTCGGTTCCCATCCCAATGGACGACGACAACCCTCGCGAAAGCATCAACGCCGAAGTTTATTACGATTTCGCCGACAACGGTTACGTTACACCTCAACCCGTCAACACCAATGACTCAGAACGTATCGGACCCAGATTCTTACCCGATCCAGAAGCGGGAGACGAAGCGGTCTATCCCGAGGATGCAACTCTCCCCCGACGCTCACCAAGTGGACTGCAGATCCTAAGTCTCGTCACCGCTGTCCACGGACCATCGCCGCCTAAGGAGCCTGCCACATTTCAGCAGGCTCTTGGGGGGGAGCACAGAGAAAAGTGGCGCGAAGCCATAGGCAGGGAATTAAAGGCACTGGAAGACAGAAACACCTGGAAGATAGTGCCCATCGGAGTGGCACGCAACAAAACCGTACTCAATGGAAGGTGGGTCTTTCGCGAGAAGACGAAAGCAGACGGGACAATTGATAAGTTCAAAGCACGATGGGTCGTGCACGGCTTTGATCAAGAGCACGGACAAGACTTCACCGAAACCTTCGCACGGGTCAGCCGACATGCCTCTCTGCGAATCCTGCTCGCGATAGCCGCCATGAAGCGGAAGAAGCTCCGCCAAATTGACGTAGCTAATGCGTTTCTTTACGCTCCCATCGACGCCGAAATCTTCGTCGAACAGCCGCACGGTTCTGCAACAGACCTTAACCAAGTCTGCAAGCTACTGAAGTCACTATACGACATCAAGCAAGCCCCACGACTGTGGCAACAGTACCTACACACCCGATTAATCCGCATCGGATTCAGTCAACTCTCCCACGACCAAGGGATGTACCGACTCACGAAGGCCGCTGAGTATACCCTGCTTATCGTCTATGTAGACGATCTCCTCTACATAGGCTCCACCGACAACATCACTACCTGGTTTGAAGGGGAGCTACAGAAGGACCTCACCCTCACCGTCTCATCTACCGTAATCCAATACTTTGGGTTCAATATTCAAGACGGAGAAAACGCGAACTACCTCAGCGCCGCCAAATACGCCGACACCATCGCAAAGCGCTTTGGATTGACACCAACGACCATCTCCACGCCATATCGCTATACCGCGGGAAATCACAATGGTGAATCCGTGCCGCTCGGACCTGCCGGCTTACGCGACTACCAACGGAAGCTAGGATGCCTGCTATTCGCAGCTGTTACCTGTCGTACTCTGCGAGTCAACTTGCGACCTACACCAAGAAACTCGAAGCCGAACACATGGAGGAACTCAACCGCGCATTACACTATCTCGTCAGCACTCCCACGATCGGGCTAACCTACCACAAGACCGAATCTACGACGCCGAAGCTAATCGGCTACGTTGATGCTGACCATGCCGGCGACTATGAAAATCGACGGTCGCGCACCGGCTACATCTACCGACTCGAGCCCGTCAGTCCTATCTCATGGCGATGCGATACTTATAGTCTCGTTCAGGACAATGGCATGTAAAGCGGTTTTTTGTGCTACAGGCAGCGCGGGGAAAGCGAGAGTCGAGCGCGCGGGGAGGCGTGAGGAGGCCGCGCGGGGAAAGCGAGAGGAGAGCGCGCGGGGAGGTGAACGCGAGAGGGAGGGCACGCGAGCGGCGAGCGGGAAGCTGCGGCTAACCTCGCGCGGCGAACGGCGGACGGCGAGCTAGGAGTGGAGGACGGGATGGGATGGCAGATGCTAGCGCGTCGAGGCTAAACGGGACTGTGTGGGGAGGGGAGGCGCTGTCGCTAATGGCCTCGCGGTGAGGCAGCGAGAGGAGGCGTGGGGCGGCCTTGTCTAAGTTGGCGTGGCCTCTGCGAGTGCGTACGAATGGGCAATTTGTCCGCGCATGCGCGCAAACAGTGTTACGCGGTTCAATAACAGATTCTGTCCCTAAATTTAGCTGTTTGGTTAGAACGTTGCCTAGCCTACGGGGAATAACCTACTGAAGTAGGAGCGCGTGGGCTTTCCTCTCAATACCGCAGTTTCAGTTTCCTTTTGCAAGTCCTAAGGTCTTGAACTGTGAGTGCGGGGAGCCGGACGTGGGGCGTTTGGGGACTCACTTCGCCTGTCAACTGGGGGGTTGGGGGTTGTAATCGCGTAACCAGTTTTTCAAGTTCCTAAGGTTTTTGAAACCCCTGCTTGCAAAAGTATACTGTTGCTTTAAGGGTTCAGAAAAAAGTGACAGCATCGCATCTGGACGGGGCAAGGTTCCGAAATGGCAATTCGGACAGTCCAGTCCTCGCTATTAGGACCGTTCGGTATCAAAATAGAGAACCGTCCTGAAAAATGCAAAAAAAAAAACAAAAAGACACGCCCTTAGAGGCCCTCGCTAAAAGAGTCCCTTTTCCCCTCTCAGTAGAATTTTCCGATATCGCCTAGGTATGGCCCGATCCCTATAGTCCCTTTTTTGGCGGAAATTTTTGCATCTTTAGATGTTGCATCTTGAAGTGGCCAAGTTAGTTAGCTGTGTCTCTTCCGATGGGTGAGGTCCCGGGAGCAATCCTCCGTGCGGACGAGTTCTGTCAGCCTCCCAGAAGGGGGTTTGCCTCCACGCGCGGCCTGCTCTCGCCTCCACGCGCGGCCTCCTCTCGCCTTGCCGCGCGGCCTCCTCTCGCCTTGCCACGCGGCCTCCTCTCGCCTTGCCGCGCGTTCTCCTCTCGCCTCCCCGCGCGTTCTCCTCGCCTCCCCGCGCGTTCTCCTCTCGCCTCCCCGCGCCTGCTCCTCTCGCCTCCCTGCGCCTCCTCCTCTCACCTCCCCGCGCCTCCTCCTCTTGCCTCCCCGCGCTCTCCTAACGCCTTCCCACGCGCGCGACTCTCGCCTCCCCGCGCTCTCCTCTCGCCTCCCCGCGCTCTCCTCTCTCCTCCCCGCGCTCTCCTCTCGCCTCCCCGCGCGTGCGACTCTCGCCTCCCCGCGCGGCCTCCTCTCGCCTCCACGCGCGGCCTCCTCTCGCTTTCCCGCGCATGGAATGCCTAGCCAGCGTCGTCGGCTTCACCCTGCCTCCCGTCGCTGCCTCTCCGCGTCTCGGCGGCCTCCTTTCGCGAGCTGCATTCGGATAAGGCCCTCGGCCCCCTCTCACTCTCTTGCAACGGCTGTGCTTCCGCATCCCCGCTGCACCCCCCTTGAACGCCCTCACTTCCCCACCTGTACGCCCTCGTTTTCCCTCCCTGCTTGCCCTCGTTTCCCCACCTTGCACGCCCTCATTTTCTCCCTTGTACGCCTTGTTTTCCCCCTTGCACGATCGCATTTCTCCCCCTGCTTGCCCTCAATGCTCCCCTGCTTGCCCTCATTTCTCCCCTTCTCCTCTTCTCGCCACCCCCACTCCTCCTCCCGCCATGCCTTCTCCTCCTCCCGCCACCCCCTCTTCTCCTCCCACCATGACTTCTCCCACCATGCCTTCTCCCCCTCCCACCATGCCTCCTCCCCCTCCCGCCGTGCCTTCTCGTCCTCCCGCGACTCTCGTCCTCCCGCCACTCCTGCTCTTCCTCCTTCATCTCCCCCCCTGCCTCCCACCATTTCCCCGCCTGCTTCCCCTATTTTCCCCCTCTGCTCCTCTTTCCCCATCTTCTCAACTTTCCCACCTCCGCTCTTTTTCCCCCTCTGCTTCTCTTCTCCCCCTCTTCTCCTCTTTTCCCTCACTGCTCCTCTTTCCCCCCTCTGTTCCTCTTTTTCCCCCCTACTTTACTTTCCCCCTCTGCTCCTCTTTCCCTCTCTGCTCCTCTTTTCCCTCTCTGCTCCTCTTTCCCCCTCTGCTCCTCTTTTCCCCCTCTGCTTACCTTTCCCCCCTCTGCTTATCTTTCCCCCCTCTGTTCCTCTTTTTCCCCCCTACTTTACTTTCCCCCTCTGCTCCTCTTTCCCTCTCTGCTCCTCTTTTCCCTCTCTGCTCCTCTTTCCCCCTCTGCTCCTCTTTCCCCCCTCTGCTTATCTTTCCCCCCTCTGCTCATCCTTTCCCTTACTGCACCTCTTTCCACCCACTGCTCCTCCTTTCTTCCTCTGCTCCTGTTTTCCCCCCCTGCTCTCAGTTTTCCCCCCTGCTTCTCTTACCCTCTCTTCTCCTCTTTTCCCCCTCAAATCCTCCTTGCCATCCGCACTTCCCCCGTCCCCTCTTATTCCTCTCCCTTCCCCGCCAGCTCACTCACCCCGCAGACGGGGTTGGGGGAAAGGAGAAGATGGAAAGGGGGGGGGGGGGGGGGGGGGGAGAAGGGTAAAACGAGAGGAGAAGATGGAGAAATCAGGGGGAGCAGAGTTGGAAATGGAGCAAGGGAGGAGATGAGAGGAAGAAGTGGGGCCAATGAGGGGGAGACGGGGGGGGAATGAGAGGGAGAAGTGGGGGGAAGTGTAGAGGAGCAGTGGGGGAAACATCGAGGGAGCAAGGGGGGGGAAATAAGAGGAGGGAGGCATGTAGGGGGGGGGGAATGAGAGGAGGGAGGCATGTAGGGGGGGGGAATGAGAGGAGGGAGGCATGTAGGGGGGGGGGGAATGAGAGGAGGGAGGCATGTAGGGGGGGGGGAATGAGAGGAGGGAGGCATGTAGGGAGCAACGCTCCTCCTCCCCTCCTCCTTATCCGCGCTCCTCCTCCCCTCCTCCTGATCCGCGCTCCTCCTCCCCTCCTCCTGATCCGCGCTCCTCCTCCCCTCCTCCTTATCCGCGCTCCTCCTCCCCTCCTCCTTATCCGCGCTCCTCCTCCCCTCCTCCTTATCCGCGCTCCTCCTCCCCTCCTCCTTATCCGCGCTCCTCCTCCCCTCCTCCTTATCCGTGCTCCTCCTCCCCTCCTCCTTATCCGCGCTCCTCCTCCCCTCCTCCTTATCCGCGCTCCTCCTCCCCTCCTCCTTATCCGCGCTCCTCCTCCCCTCCTCCTTATCCGCGCTCCTCCTCCCCTCCTCCTTATCCGCGCTCCTCCTCCCCTCCTCCTTATCCGCGCTCCTCCTCCCCTCCTCCTTATCCGCGCTCCTCCACATCACTGCCTTCCCTCCTCACATCCCTGCCTTCCCTCCTCACATCCCTGCCTTCCCTCCTCACATCCCTGCCTTCCCTCCCATAGGTTCGGGGCCCCACTATTTACGGTTGCGACACCACGTGTCATACAGCCAGTATGCATACGCAAAGCTGCAGGTTTTGCATGCAATCCTGCTACACACAGGGCAAAGCCAGGCCCGGGCAATTTTGGCGACATGAAGGGAGGAGCCGCAGGTCCAAGAGTTTGGGGGGGAATGAAGGCGACACAAAGAGTAGTGGAAGGTGCTGTCTTGTACAATGTTTTGCGATGATTTTATTATGTGTACATACTCCTCTCAAGCTTCTCTTCTCTGCATCAATGCTGTGCTGTGCCCATTTGAAAGAACAGAGGTCACGTGACAACCATTGGATTCCACTACCATTATTCAGAATGTAAATGAGTTGTAATACCATGTTATGGCTAGATACATTGAGGCACACACATTGTAGACTGAGATTACAACTTCACTGTGCTCCATGCTGCACAGAGCAGATATCCGGAGGACAGAGTACAAGATGATCTGGAAATCCGGAGGACAGAGTACAAGCGTGCAGGAAGAGCGGGTTGGGGGGAGGGTAAGGGGGTGGAGACGAACAAGGGCAAGCAGGTGGGGAGACAAAGCGTAAGAAGGGGTGAAAAACTCAGAGAAAGGAGGGTGATACGGTAGCATAGAAAACAACAGAGGAAGGAGGGTAAGGGGAGAACTGTGGGCAAGACGCAATCGAAGAGAAAGCAAGCAAAGGAGAAGCAGGGACGGAAATGAAGGGAAAGAGAGGGAGAAACGAGGGGAAGCAGAGGGAGAAAAGATTGGAAGCTGGGGAGGTAGTGAGAGGGAGCAGGGGAGGTAGTGAGAGGAAATGAGGGAAAGTTGTGGGATGAACAAGGATGAGAGGGGGGAACGAGGGGAAGCAGAGGGGGAAATGAGGTGAAGGAGAGGGGGTGGACGAGGGGAAGGAGAGGGGGGAACGAGGAGAAGGAGAGGGGGGAACGAGGGGAAGGAGAGGGGGGAACGAGGGGAAGGAGAGGGGGAACGAGGGGAAGGAGAGGGGGGAACGAGGGGAAGGAGAGGGGGGAACGAGGGGAAGGCGAGGGGGAACGAGGGGAAGGAGAGGGGGGAACGAGGGGAAGGAGAGGGAGATGGATGGGTGGAGGAGAGGGATGGGTAACAAACAGGGGGAGGGATGGGTAACAAACCGGGGGAGGGAGAGGGGATGTGAGGGAAAGTTGTGTCTGATTTCGCTCACAGCTTTAGACGGATGCGAAGGGGAGGCAAGGGATGGACAGGTGAGAGAAGGGGATGGAGAGGGGGAACAAGGGGAAGCAGAGGGGGAAATGATGGGATGGAGAGGGGGGAACGAGGGAGAGGAGAGGGGGGGAAATAAGGGAAAATAGAGGGGGGAACGAGGGTAAGCAGAGGGGGAAACAAGGGGTAGGAGTAGTGGGGGAAAAGAGAGAGGGAGGGGGGGAAATGAGGGAACAGGGAGGGGAAATGAGAGGTCCGGGGAAGGAGGTTGGACGACGGGCTCCCCGCATTCATGGCGATGCGCCCATTCAACGGTGGCAAGCAGCGCGTGAGGCGAACGCCTCGCGGAGCGCAGCATTTTGGGCGAATTCGACATTCGCCCAGAGACGCGAGCAGCAGGTGAGGCCAGCAGAGGGTGAGAGTGCTAAGAGAGGCGAGCGATGGGTTCGAGAAGCACTCGCCTGCACTAAAACTTGAGAGGAATCGCAGTGCGTGAGCGGTGAGGCGCTATGCGGTGAGGCGCTCGCTTAGCGATCGTGCGCTTTTCGCTGTGAGGCGCTTAGCGGTTAGGCACTAAGCGGTGGGGCGCGCAGAGTGGCATTAGGCGAGTCGCGGGTGACGCGCTAAGAGGGTGTCGTGAGCTGCGGGTTCGGCGATCGAGCAGCAGGTTTCGTGAGAATATCGCCAGCGAGGAGAGCGCATGGAATGCGGCGCGCCTCTTCGAAGGCTATTCCTACATCGCGTGCGAGGCCTTAGAACGAGTCTAGTCATCAGAGAGTAGGGTGTTGTAGAAATGCTTGTGACACGTGTCCCCTTACCAACAGCGAGTTTCTTAGTGGTACCGCTACTCCTCGGCCCCCTTAGTCACCTTTTACATTGCCTGTGGAAAGGCATTTCCTAGTGTCTGAGTGTGACTCCAGGTGTTGGGTGACGGGAGAGTTTTTCGTGTTCGCAACTAACAGCCTTCCAAACTTTCGCCGACCCTCTCGCCAAGCCTGTTCGTTTTCGTTGGGGTTTGCTTTTGGTGGGTACTGTTCCAAAATCAACAGTACTTTCAAATGTATACTGCTGCTTTAATTTCACGAGGTTTTGTAGCTTCGTTATGGGCAATGTAGCGTGGTTACACAAGTCACGACATATTCTTTGCAAGATTCGTGCGCTAATCGGATTTCGTATTGTAAAAATATCTCGCGCGCCAATCTCTAGTAAGTACTGCTGCACAGTCCGTTTGCTTTTCGAGCTGCGGAAAGTTCAAAATCTGAACCGTTTTGAAGAAGTGATGCGACAGTTCGAGCCGTTGGCGACGTCGCAAATACTTTCACGAAACGTATCACGAAGTCTTACGAAACAGGTAATCTTTTCATAGCTCGGACCGTCTATGGTTCGAACCTTCGAGGGGAAAAAAGAGACACGCCCTCACCCGGAAAATCTGTATCAGCGAGAGCCAAATGCGGTGACATCAAGTCATTATCTATTCTCCCTCACGACAGAACTCTCCACGTCACAAAATTCCTGCCTAAAAAAAGTGTGCACTAAGTATGTTTAAACATTCCTCAAAGTATGCCACACGGAACATACTTGTGACATTAAGTTGATCATTGCTGTGGGATTGTTCGAGCATACCTCGCGCATTCTTTTTGGACTTCCACATCTGACTGAAAACACTCCCCCCCCCCGCCACTAGGTGAACAGCGACAAAGGGAAACTCGTTTTTGTATTAGGTTGTGTAACAGTTTGTACACTAATGTAAAATGCAAAGACACAACGTATTTATACGTACAATCTGACATAGCATTTGTGACACTGCAAACTATTATTATAAGAACTTCCATTCATTATAGGCAGCATTTCGTATAATCACATTTGTCCAACAGCAGCATGACCTGTCATTGCACAATGTTTTTTTGTTGTTTAAAGCAGATTTATTAAAACCATAGATTACGCAGCAGTCACAGATGCACAAAGCAAACACGAAACATCAAAGACGCTTGTTGCATCCGAATCTACAGTACAAAACCTACAATAACAAGCTGTTCGAACCAATGCGCCATCCAACCTACCCCGGTATAATGCAGGGGGGGATGAGGAGCCTCTATCAGCAGTGCAGTATCATTGCAAGAGAAAGAGCCCATCACTGCCTTCCCCTCTGCTTCCACATCCCCCATCACTACCTCTCCCTCTGCTTCCTCAACTCCCTCGTTGCTACCTCCTCCTCTCACATTCCCCCCATCACTGCCTCCCCAACTGCTCCCTCATCCCCTCACCTACTGCTCCCTGATCCCCCCATCAATGCCTCCCTGACTGCTCACCCATCCCCCATCGCTGCCTCCTCCACTGCTCCCTGCTTCTCCCCGTCGCTACCTCCCCCGACGCTCCTCCACCCCCCCCCCCCCCCCCCCTCGCAGCCTCCCTCACTGCTCCCACATTCCTATCACTGCCGTGCCCACTGCTCCCCCATTCCCCCCATAGCTGTCTTCCCCCCTGCTCCCTCACCCCCCCCATAGCTGTCTCCCCCCCTGCTCCCTCACCCCCCCCATAGCTGTCTCCCCCCCTGCTCCCTCATCCCCCCCATAGCTGTCTTCCCCCCTGCTCCCTCATCCCCCCCATAGCTGTCTTCCCCCCTGCTCCCTCATCCCCCCCATAGCTGTCTTCCCCCCTGCTCCCTCATCCCCCTCATAGCTGTCTTCCCCCCTGCTCCCTCATCCCCCCCATAGCTGTCTTCCCCCCTGCTCCCTCATCCCCCCCATAGCTGTCTCCCCCCCTGCTCCCTCATCCCCCCCATAGCTGTCTTCCCCCCTGCTCCCTCATCCCCCCCATAGCTGTCTTCCCCCCTGCTCCCTCATCCCCCCCATAGCTGTCTTCCCCCCTGCTCCCTCATCCCCCCCATAGCTGTCTTCCCCCCTGCTCCCTCATCCCCCCCATAGCTGTCTTCCCCCCTGCTCCCTCATCCCCCCCATAGCTGTCTTCCCCCCTGCTCCCTCATCCCCCCCATAGCTGTCTTCCCCCCTGCTCCCTCATCCCCCCCATAGCTGTCTTCCCCCCTGCTCCCTCATCCCTCCCATCACTACATCCCCCTTAGTTGCCACATCCCCCTTATTGCTGCCTCCCACGCTGCTCCCTCATTCCCCCCAAAGCTGCCTTCCCCGCTGCTCCTTCATCCCCCCCGTCGCCTCTCCTTTATTGCTTCTTCCACCTTAGATGCCTCAATGGCCCCGTAGCTGCCTCTTTCCCCTCGTCGCAGGAGACTGGTTCAATTAAACCAGTCAACTAGGTTCAAATACAAGTCGTCCAGCTGATACTGATGAGAAAAGGGTGGTTTGGGGGAGAAGGAAGGGGGAGGAAGAAAGTGGGAAGGGGAAGGAGAGGGGGGGGGAGGTATTGAGATGGGATGAGGTATTTAGGCATGCGACGATTTCAGGTGCTGGAGGTGAGGGAGAGTGTTCAGGTGAGGTGAGGTGTTCAAGTGAGCTGGCAGTACGAGGTCGGCTAGTAAGCGAACGGCAAGCGAAATGCGGATAGCAGTAGTACAGGGTTGGCTAAGCGAAGACTTGATTGTAGTACGGGAAGCTTTGCTAGCACATCTGGCGGACGAGCGAGACCATAAAAAATGTGAAAACTACACTCACGCTGTAGAGTAGAAGAGGGCAAAGTGGGTGGAAGGGGAAGGGCGTGGGAGGTCAAGTGAGTTGTGAGTTGCTGCGCCCCTCCCGTGCTGAGGCGGCGAGCGATGATGCAGTGTGTGGCTTCCATGCTGCCTATCACTGAAACCTGGAGCGGGGTCTGCGGGAGAGATATGAGCACGAAGTGGAAAGCACGTGCCTCGAGCCATGCATGCAGAAATGCGTGCATAGATGCATGCAAGAATGAGTACGCACAGGCATGCATGCTCCCCCCCACACACCTGCACCGCATTGCACCGCTGACCTGCACGTCCATGAGCACAAGGTCGAAGGGGTGTTTCTGCAGTTGGCAGCGACGGTGCACTCATACCCCATGCACGCTAGCATCGTGGTCTCTGATTCACCACGTTGTCCTTGCTGCTCCCATGCACACAGGTTGCAGGGGGACAGGGGCAAGAGAGTGGAGGATGAGGGGAGAGAGCGGGAGGAAGAAGCAGAAGGGTAATTGGGCAGGAGTGAAAACACTGAATTGCACTGCCAGCTGCAAGCATGGACTTCGCGTTGCTAATACATTCTTCTACAGGTCTTGCCTCGCCATGCCCCATGTGCCTCGCCATGCCACCTACATGCACCATGCCACCATAGCTCACTTGTGCCCCACCAAATCACGCCACGCCATGCCATCACATGATGTTCCGTGCCACACCATGCCACTACATGCCACACCATGAAGTGGGGGCGATTGGGGGAGTGGGGGAATTTGGGAGGCAGGAGCTATTGAGGCGCCTCAAAAATGCTTTCCTTGGATGGTTCCTTTCAGCGTCTCATTCCCCAGGTTGCTGCACCGAGGGAAAGTGGGGCCTATGGGGGGAGTGGGGGGGATTGGTTGGTTGCAGGGGACAGTGGGTTGAGTAGGGCGAGGGCAACAGGTCAGTGAGAAATGAGCAATACAAGAGGGTCACCCAGGTGCTGGAGGTGAGGGAGAGTATTAAGGTGAGGTGCGGTGAGGTGAGGGGGTGTCACGGGTGTTAAAGAAGAGTGAGTGTAGAGAGAGCATCAAGAGAGCCTTGCCACGAGGTGTTGAACAGATTTCTGTGCACTCACACAAAGGAATATATTTATGAGAAAACACTGAAAAAACTATAACACAACGGGGAGCTTTGATACGAGACATCCTTAGCTTTACGCATGTACCTGTTTCATTGTTTCCTTTTCGCGCCATGTGAAGTGGCGGAGCAAAGGGAGGAGAGACAAAACGAGAGAAGATCGAAGGGGGGCAATCGAACAGGGTGGAAGAGAGTGGGACTGGGTGCGAACAGACGTGGTGCCGCATCGAGACCATAAGGGCGCTTCGAGGGAGGAGAAGCGTGAGGTGAGCGGAAAAGGTGCGGGGGAGGGGCAGGAAGACTCTTCGAGGGCCAATCAGCGCGTCCGTGAACAACCAGGCGATTTCGCTGAACGAGAAGTGAACGGGTCGACGCGGAGAAAGCGAGGAGGGTGGGCGTAGGAGGAGGACACGGCGGAGGCGCAGCGATGCATCTTGCGCGACCAAGCGAAAACGCTGCGCTCTCCGCGAGCGGTTGGAAATCGGTCGCGTGTCTGAGGCATCCTAAATCTAGGTCGGCTAGTAAGCGAATGAATCCGCGAACTGCGAATAGCAGTACAGTGTAGGCTAAGCGAACGGCAAGCGACGCTAGAAAAGCTGGCGGACGAGCGAGAAACCAAGAAAGAAACAACGACGCTTTCGCTTTCAAGGAAAGCCTAATGGTGGGTCTTCGTTCCCGCAAGCAGACCAGCATGCGTGGTGGTGTTGCTCTGAAAACGGCCGTGGCTACCAAGTATTTCAAGATAAAAATGAATTGCAAGTGAAATTGCTCGGCTGAAATAGATGCTCGAGAGGATGGGACTGCCATGTTTCCAAGAATCGAGTTCAGAAGCACAGAACCAAGATTGGCCAACAGGGAGTTCCGTCATGTGCCGAAAGCTGTTGATGTGCTACGTTGTAACAAGTTTTCGACAGCATGGGATGGTCCTGCTATGCTGGACAGAATCGCCGTGTAACCAGATGCATCTGACACGGAGGGTGGTGTGTCGACGTCGCAACTCGCTGGACACGATGAATGCAATTTTTGTTGGTGTGATGGTACTGTACACCATTCCCGAACCAACCCTAGGTTTGGCACACAGGTTTGCCGGGCCTGGATGGTGGTGGTAATGAACCACAAAATTACAACAATTGCATTGCGGATGAGCTTAACACTGAAACGGGTCTGACTTTAAACCCATACACACTGTTACTCTTCTACTGAAGGTGGCTCTCCCGAAACCCAACCCTCGAAGCATAGTTTCCTGCATGATTGGATGGTGTTCAAACATAGCTCACGTGGGATACCTGAAAGAATGCTACAATTGTGGGCATGTTTTGGGGGCCAGGAATTTTGTGACGCACTGTTAGTAGTTTCCGACAGAACCTGCCTTCCATCATCTCCGTCGAACTTCTTCGGCTCCGTCCAAACGTTAGGCAGTTGAATTAAAAATTGACGACACGATCGCGATCGCGATCATGCAACGTGGATTAACTCCGCCGCTACTGCTAGGGCGGTGAGCAATTGTCAACGCCGCGAGAAGCAGCGGCGAGAGAGGTTGCGGTTGAATCCCGCCACACTCGGCGATCTAGCTCGGTTTGAAACCGCGAGCTGCTAGATGATGCTAGATGCGAGATAAGGTTCTGCGAGTTGGGAAAATGCCGCCGCGGCGAGCTGCGATATGCAAGATGCGAGATAATGCGAGCTGCAAGCTCAGCTCAAAATTTCGCGTGATGCCAGGCCTGGCTCGCACCTTGTCGATGCAGCTAGATATGCTGCGAAACGCTGCGAGTTGAGAGCTGCGACTGCGACTGTCACAGGACAAATTAACAGAGGGTACAGCACAACCGGCGACTTCTGCCGCCCGCTGGAGCAACAGGCGTTGAAATTGGCGTTCTTCCATTTCATTGGTGTTCCTTTCGAGACTCTCAAAAGCGGCGTGACCTCATACAGCAGTGGGTTTTTTTAACCTCTCAAAAGCATCGAGACTCTCAAAAGCGGCGTGACCTTGTCAACGCCGGTGTTTGGCATAATTTGTCACAACAAACAAAATTGGCATACACTGTACTACTACCGTTTACCATGCTCTCAGTCGACCAACACTTAGCAGTGGTGCATGTGCGACGTTTCTAGCGCCTGAAGAACCAGCGTGTACCTCGAACGGGACATGGTAGACGTATGGAGGCGCGAACTCAAAGAAAGGGAAAAAAACGACCACATGGCATTTCGTATGTTGCCCCAAATATGAAGCCACGGCCTTTCGGCCAGCGGCAGAATTTTGAACGCCCGAAGGAGTTCCCAAGGAGCCCCAAAGGAGTTCCCAAGGTGCAAACATGGAGAGTGAGCAGTACACCGTTGACGCACTGAGAGTCCTGAAGTGAAGCGTTGACGGATCCGTGACGGAGCTCTCAGTGACACTGCCAGAGCCGTCACAGGAGCAGATTCATCGTCCCTCCTATCCGAATCAATCTCCATCCTTTCCTTTCCCACAAAAAACAGTCCAGGTGTTTCAAACAGGGAAGTTCAGTGCCGCTATTTCTATTTCTCTGCTGCATTTCCTCGTCAACTTCTGCCTATCTACTAGGAGGTTTCAAACTCTCGCGTTTCCTGCGTTTGGAGAAAAACGTGCCTTCCAATCTGGAAGCTTTTCAAACTAAGTAGTAGTGCTACCCTGCTGCATTTTTGTGTCACAACCGAAAAGGGAGGCTGATCCGTCACGGATTCCAAGTTGGGACCTGAACTTTTTGCTGACGGTGGGTGGGGCCGCTGCGGCGCGTTTTGAGAAACCACCTCGGTGAGGATACACCGATTTGTACGTAAGGCCTGAGGAGCCTCCCGAGGCTAACTTCAAGTTAGTGATGGCCGCCGCCCCACGCCGCTCAACTTGAAGGCGTCTGACTCAGATGTGCTGCATTGCATTGCGGCTCTGCCATTGCCTCAGTGATTCAGAGATTCTTTGAGAACCGACCAGTGTGATTCTTTGAGGCGCCTGAGCAGCCGGACCTGAACCGGAGGCCTCGGAGGCCCGGCTTTGCGCCAATCTGAGGGACCACGAGCGCTCCGCGTTCAACTTGAAGGGATCGTCAGTACGTTCCAGCAGCAGGTGTTATTCTGGGGACTGATAAGGATCTGCTGGATCGCTCTGAAGCAGGGAAGTTACAGTTGGTACGACACACCTCTGAGGGTACGACTTCAGATCACTATGGCTGACAGTGCCAGCGGGGGACACACCTCTGTTTCCAGTCTGCTCTATGATGATCCAACCCTGACGCCCACTGATAGTGCTGTCAGCAGCCTCCACATGCTGGTGACTCATTTGAAAGGCCCTGATTCTACCACTGCTACTACGATTAGCGGCAGCAACAGCAGAGCTCTGGTCCCTGCTGTTTCTCTGGAGAAGAAACAGTCTGAGGCGCGGCCTCAACTGCAAAACACCACTGAAGCGCCGCAGCAAGTTCACTACTCCAGCAGCACGGGTGAGGGCGGAGGAGGAGGAGGAGGAGGAGGAGGAGGAGGAGGAGGAGGAGGAGGAGGAGGAGGAGGAGGAGGAGGAGGAGGCAGAATTCCAGCAAGAAAGAAGCACAAGAGAGCAGCGGTGGCGGCGGCAGTGGCGGAAGTGGGTCCGATTTGGAGATGTCCTTGTGAGGAGAACGACCAGCAAAGGCAGCAAGTTCACTATTCCAGCGGCAAGGCTGGGGGCGGAGGTAAAGGCAGCCTTGGAGGAAGAAAGAAGCGGAGGAGAGAAGTGGTGGCGGCTGCGGCGGCGGCGGAAGTGGGTCCTTGTGGAGTGATTGATCAGCAGTGCCAGCGGCAGTGGCAGCAGCGGCAGTGGCAGCCGCGGCAGCAGCAGCAGCAGCAGCAGCAGCAGCAGCAGCAGCAGCAGCAGCAGCAGCAGCAGCAGCAGCAGCAGCAGCAGCAGCAGCAGCAGCAGCAGCAGCAACCACCTTCAAGAAGCAGGGACGCTGGTTCTGCTGACGATCCTGCTGCTGTTGCTGCCATTAAAGCTGCTGCTGCTGCTGCGGTTGAAGCTGCTGCTGCTGAGGAGGCTGGTGATAGCAACCAAGAGGGAGGAGACAACAACGAGGATCACAGGCGGTACCGGTGGAAAAAAGGGTCCCACAAGTGGCTGGCTGGGAAGCCAGTGATGGTAACTGCTGTTGCTACAGACGCTGGTGCTGCTGAAGTTGCTGCTGCTGCGGACGCTGATGATATTCACCAAGAGGGAGGAGAC